GTCCATACACAGATTCATTTACCCAAATGATGGATTAGCCTTTTTAAAATTAAGCTCTTTAATATAATAGCTTCCTGTGTCTTTGTCTCGTATTTAGGTTAAACTAAAATTATATACACAAGTAACCTCTAGTATCAATTATGAATGTTAAAAACAAAGAGTACACCATAATACTGGAAAGTGAAAGGTAAATAATAAGCCATTGCAATTATAATATATAGAAATAAAACTGTACGTTATATTATTATATATTTGTATAGAGGGATAACAAAAAATCCTGCATATATGTAGGTATGTCAATCACTATATCGATTACTACTTTTCATAATGTATTACGTATTTAAGCCATAGATGATTATCAATCACGCGTCGCCATTCTAATCATGCTATCATTATCATTTTGCGGTAACCATAGAAAGTTCCAGGATCTTTGGCAATTATGGACGTACTATCGAAGTATCAATAGTTGTAATAGGCCTTTTATCAATTATAGTTGCAATGTGAGAATAATATTATCACTAGTCTAGTTATTAACTGCGATTTTGAATTTTTGATTTGAATTACAGTGTGCTCCAGATTCTAGTAGATTTCTCCCGAGATTGAGTTTTATTGGTCTACGTCAATTACGGTATTGCTGTAAATCTTGTCTTTATAAGAAACAGCTAAAGTCAACGTCGGGTATAGTAGATATTTGTTTCTGGTATACAGTTATACTATGTGAGTGAATAATTAATAAAAGGTCTTATTGAAATTCCACAAGAACTATGACGTTTAGGATGGAGTCATAACCGTAATAAAATCATAAATGCAAAAGTTAAGGCAAAACTACTGACAAATTCAATGACAAAAATCAAATTTAATCTATAATACATAATATTCTAGAGTAATATTATGTAGTATACTTTTTGTCTAAATTCACATGCTTAGCGTTAGATAGCGCAGAATTAGCTAGTGTTAAAGAAGATAATTTCATTTAATGTGTTATTTCATAATCTGTGAGTCCATAGATCGTATATATCAAGCTAGTGTAATATGATAAATTAGACGAGGGTTCAAATAACCCCATGCGACCAAGGATCAATAATTTGTGTCGGAAGAGCCTTTGAGCGTTTTGTTATCGGATAGCGATTAGCGAGCTCTATTGTATATCTCGGGTTACTTTGTATCTACCTGGTGTTTGACTTTCTTGGAAATGACCCTTAACAGTTCCTACAATTATGGCTATAGTTACTTTGCGTTGCAAATATATATCTACTATTGTCATCAATATTAGTAGATAAATATGGACTATTTTTTTTTATTTGGACCTGGTGAAATGAAATTAATTTTATCACGTTTCTTTTAAAATTACTCTTTTTACTAACCGTAAATTGTTATTACAAACTCTCTTCTGAAATGTGTATACCTTTTTAAATTTATGTACTAGTATTTCATCGTGAATTCACATTTTTTTTATTATTCAGTACTAGCAATACTTTGATATTCATGGGTATTCATGTAACAAAGCTTTTATGTGTAGAGATTATATGACGCTATATATTGATGTAATCTTCGTTTTAGCTTCCAAATAAGTTCTTTGTAACCTCGTGATTACGCTCAGATAAATGTCTATCAAAAAGTAATGTTTAACAAAATGACATAATTCCAAAGTTGATTAAAATTAAATCAATTACTTTGTATACTTATGGTAAGTCTAAAAATAAATTTAGGATGTCGTTATAAACCATATAAGTCAATAAGTGACTGTGTCGTAGTTATTAACGCCTGCTCCATAACATGTTGCTGTGAAATACATTTAAGTAGGTACTAATAACACATAATTATATAGAAAATTTAAAATAATTTTGAGTGTGTATATGTGTATTCTCGTGTATGCGTGAATATATTTAATTGATACAAGATGATGACCACAAGTTAAACCTTAATTATTTTTATGTTAATTGTAATTATTCTAGTGGCAATACTTTTGGTCAAGCCTGTATATAGTATATTAAGCTGTATAGATTAATATACTTACCCAGATAAATGTATTCAATTATTGTTATAAAATTTTAACTGAGTAATTTAGTATTGTATTTAGTAGTTTGAGTACTTTAACTGAGTAACCTATTTGATACGGTAATAAAAATTAGCAAAAGTAATAATGAAAATTTAAAATTCGATGCGTTTAATTATTTTTTATCAAAGTAAAAATTCAAGAGTAACTTGTCTTCGGAGTTTTTGGAATGAATGAAGTTTGCTTCTAAATTTCAATGTATTTTGCTTATGATCTCCGATATTATTTCTTTATTGTCAAATAAACTTTGAATGAATCATAACCCTTATCAGTATTGTTTCTAGCCATAATTTTACGAAAAGAAGAATTACAAAAATTGGGTTTGAAAATTACGACTACAGATAACTGGAATACAGAATAATCTACTAATTTAGGTCTGAATATGGTTCGTCTGAAAGAGTAATCTCCAACTTGATTTATTAATATCGTTAATCGTTATCTGTTCCAATGATTGGGTCTTTAGGTAATTCTCGTGAGAAAGGCGTTTTTATTCGTCTAGACTGCTCGCAGAATTTTCGATTATAATTTATTTTTGTTCTTATATTATACTGTAAATAGGGAGTATTTACAGTGTAATTTAAGAACTAAGAATAGTTTATATATGTTGTATATAAATTTAAAATTTTGTATCTACTTAATTATTTTCTAATTGAAATTTAGTAGTAGTATTTTATCCTGTTTGCTATATACTATCCATGTGTAATATTTTTTGGGCGCATCAAAAAAGCTGTTTTTTGTTTTAACGTCACCTTTAATGCTTTAGCAGATATTAATTAATTTACACAGACATATAGTAATAGGTCTTTCCTGTGACTACAAAGTGTCAGCTAAATTATAGGGTTTTGTACAGAAATCAATTATATGACCGTGTGCGGTAGCCAGATATGGTCTGTTCTTTTATGGTATGTGCAGGATGTCCACTTTAGTGAGAAAAACATGAGCAAATTGCATCCATAATTAAACACATTGACAGCAACCTTGCTACATGATATCCAACAATATGCACGTATGATATTTGCACTGGTTTGACGGCCTCATGTGAAAACCAGAAGAGATATCACATGCAACCATGTATTGGTCACAATTCTATGTCTAGAGATATATTACACCAGTTTTCGTAATCAGCATTATATAGCTAGAATATTGGAGTAATTAGAATGGGGAAGAAAAGTTAAAAAGTAGAGACTGACTTTATATTATAATAGGTCAAAGAAGAGTTTGAGAGAATAATCATAGTTATCTAATAAAAAGTATTAGGGTGAGATGATGTTGTCAGTAATTCGGTGCTTATATTGTATGTGTAGATTACTTGAAGTTAAGTTATTTTATAATTTCGTATCTACAGTCCGTTTGATAACCTAATTAGACCTTTGCTATAATGAATATAATGAACTAATCATAAAATTGTTTATTAAATTTATATGTATTGTTTGAAATGATGATGGTGACCAGTGAATTATTACATAAAAAAATTGGCGTGTTACACGATTGTTTCATGTGTGTGCAAAGAGTGCGTTAGTGCAGTTAAATTACTGATTGTTATAGTAGAAGCAGCCTAGTGCCTCAGGAATAATAATGCATGGAGTATCCATATTCGTTGGGTCGTTATGGTACAATTCATGTAATTTTGTATCAGGTAAGTAGTTACCATGTTTGTGACTTCAAATGGATGTAATAAAAACTAAACACGTGACTGTTGGACAATTGTATTATTGTATTCATATCTGTACTACGATAACTAACAGCGTGTCTATGGTTATTACTCTATAGATGCTATTGTAATCGTTATTTATTAACTATGTGAATAATACCTAATTCATTGCTTTTGTTTATACAGTTTCGTATTCAGTAAGTACCTACGAAAAGTACAAAAAAGTTTTACAAAAGACTCTATGTAATATTCAAATGTATGGACGATGTTACCCCAGTTGCATGTGTCTGTCTGTATGTCAGTGATTTATTTCCGTATGCACATAGATTATAGGTACTAATGTTATCTATTTGATATTTTTAGTTTAACATTTAAACAAGGACAATATACACAGCACCATTTAGTCTAGGGAAGCAGAGCTAGTGCTATAGATACTAGACAACTGTAGATATTTTTTTGTAAACACATACATAATACCACCGACACAAGTAATCACACTCATGAATATAAATGTTTGTACGTGCGAGGAATCGAACCCGCGACCATCGGAAGTAGAGCGGCGTGCTAAACCACCATCGAGGTCATATAAACATCGCTTACCAAACTTAATTGCAAATAGGTATTAGATGTCTTATCAACCCCTATAGTGGGATACGATAACATTATAGTAGCAAGAAGTGATTAAAAATAAGCAGGATAATGAATTAATAAGTAGAAACTTATCTAATTCTAGTGAAATATAAAATGCGAAATAGAATCGATTCTATTAAATGAATGAGTAGATATACGTTATTACGCCGACCCGAAATAAATGGCATAAGGATGCAGCAGATGATGATGATGAATAGATATACATTTTTCGATGTCGCTAAGTTCTACGCTTGGTAGATGTCTCTATTGAGATAAAAGTATTTTTATGCAACCCCCTTAATAAATTACCCAGAAATTAATAACGAAGATGGGAAAATTTAATCATTTGAACGAATTAAATAGTACCTATAAATTAAGTACAGAACTGCATATTAAACCAAAATAATGTTTATATATAAAGTAAATATACGTATACAAAGTGGGAAGTAAACACACACGGGGAATAGGTAAAAAGGACTATTATGTCAAGTTACCAAATTTCGTTAAGTGAAGCTGATAGGTGCTTAGTATAAATAATGTTGTCGTTAAATTTTATACATGGAGTATCAATTAAATAAACACAAAATTAATAAAATAATGGAAACGTGTTATGCACATGTCAAGATAAATACGAAGTATTCTTATAGGTTAGAAAATACTCACCACAAAGCGCTGTTCCATATTCCTTCCAATGTGAACGAGTTTTCGCTGTCATTGCAAATTAATGTATTAAAATTTTCTCCAATTTATTTGATTTTACTGGGCGTTTTGGAATGAGATTATCTTGAGCACTGATTTGTTAATTTGGAAATACTAGTTTAAATAATTCAAATCCATTGTAACGGTATAAATAATAATATACTAAAACTAGCTAAATATCACAATATAATATATTCGATCTAATATATAATAATAATAAAAATAAGGTTTGTAAACGAAACGTTATAACCGATTAGGCTTCATTTTGGAAGGTTTATGTGTTGTTGGTTTGCTGGTTCATAGTGCGGAGAAACGCGTAAGTTTGTAGCGCGGCGGCGACTGATGAAGAACTGAACGAACTGGGAGTGGGATTGAAAAGAGGCGAATGAACTAATCGCGACGCACCAAGCAGGACGGAATGAGGCAAAACGGCGCGAGCGCACGCTTTTGCCTGTTGTTTATCGCTGTGGTAGCTCTTGTTGAGATAAGAAGAAGGTCGATAACGGCTAGAGCACGCGGATGACGCCGGGTGTCGACTGCAATCGCCATGAAGCCAACGCGCCGCCGCCGCGCCGCCGCCGCCTCGCGGCCCCTCGTTGTAACCACCGCCATCAAAGTATTTCATGGTAGGAACGCGCCTACCAATATTTCTAGCGACAGTTATTTTTAGCTACTATATTCTATAAATAACATTAACAAGACAATCATTAGAATTTAACACGATACGCCACACCTACAATTACGTTAGCTAATTAACGCACAGGATCCTAAAGAAATAAAGAGTACAATTATGAACATTTCCTAATTAAATTAATATATAAATTTATAACAGGATGATAGGCAAATATATAAAACATAAAATCACAAGTCATACAGGATAAGTAATAAGAAATTAGGTTTACCTATATTATATCATTTTTATGATGTTAATCGTACAAAACCTTGTAAACGTTTCAGATACAGATAATAATTTATGGGCAGCATAATGCCATCACGTACTGCCTCAATGTGAGAACAGAATTATATAGAATTGTATCACGAAACTCACGAATGATTATAAAAATTTTATGATGTCAATGTTGTAAACAGTTACAACTAGTTTATAGTATTAGATTGAGTTCAATTAAGTTTTCCCTTAGCCCACTTCATGTCATTTTCAAAAACACTACTATACGTAGATGATTTACGACTTTAGACTATCTAATTAAAAATAATCTATTATTAATTAAAATCTGTAATATAATATGATACCTTTACCTTTTTTTACTACTATGGTGGCAAACAAGCATACCATCCATCTGAAGGTAAAAGGATGAATCTTAAATTTTTAAATAATTTTTGTTAATTAAAACTGTACATAGTTATAATAACATTATAGTACCTAGTAAGGTAGTGATATTGTATTAATAGAAATATTATTTCTATTAATACTATTAATACAGATTTATTTTATTCAAAATACGGAAGTTTCAGGGTTTTATATTTCACGGCTTTCGTAAGAAAATAATATTGGTTATATACTAAAATATGAATGCACGTCGGTAATGAATGAGAGAGCTGAACTTCCTACAGTTTAAAATGGATTTCTCATTGGACTTGTCTCTTCAAGGTATTTCATTTGGCGTCATTCCATTAATTTTGTTACAACAAGAGCAACAATATATATTATAGTTTTTATACAAATATATAATGTTGCAAGTATACCATAAAAGAATGGTTTCATTAATTTATTATAATTAACAGTATTACAATTTTAAAAATATAAACATTCATATAACTCGGAATTATTGTTTTATTTTTAAAAGTACGTTCAGGATTCTAACATCAAAGAAGATAAGTAGGTAAGTAATTGTTTCCTAATGTGTGTCTTCCTACGTATTTATTCTCATTAGATTCTGTTAAGCATTTGTAAGCTAAAAATGAACAAACAAGTATTGGACCAAAAATAAGGTATTTGACTGAGTAAACTGAGTAAACTAACCTTACACGGTTTCCCTTATTTTTACCATCCTCATTTATCATTCATAATCAAAATAAAGAACATACTTAGACAAATATTTGAAGGTCATTGGTCATTCATGGTTTTACATTAGTATTAATAATCCCATTGTAGAGTCGCTTCATATAACGGTACATATAGGCATAGTATAGGTACTTGCATCAAATTTATAAATAGGCATAATACTTGCGTCAAATTTATAACGTCATTTAGAAAGATTGTTATATTTTTACGAATGTGGGCTAGGTGGGTCCTATTTTTATTGGGAGAGACTTGCATGAGATAAGTTATGAACTTGGTTAGGTTTTCTGATAGTTCTGTATTGAAGCGTGGTAGAAAGATGTAAGTAAATGTTTTAATATCATTATTATAATGATATTAAACCATTTATATACAATATAATAATATACAAGATAATAAATAAAACCCGATAACAAAGACAAATGTAGAATAAATAGTCCGATTTGCTTAAAAAATATGTGATATTGACAAATTCTATTTAGCGTGCATAAATAGTTAGTATATCTACTTATAGAGCTGAATATTAAATTGTATGCGATGATTATTGCTCGTGAGTGGTTGATTGGTGTTAAAATTAGAGCTTGTTAGTTCCGTCACACCATGGAAAATTTTAAACGACTGACAAAAGGTACTATGAAAATTTGTCCATTGACTTATAAATCTTTAATAACTTTCATTTACTCTTATCTCAGTTCACATAGAGATATAACAAGAATATTTACAATAAAATTTATGAAAAAAAAGTAAAGTAAAGAAATAAACTTTTTGTATGCTACTTGATTTGTATACTACTGAACCCTTTTAGATAATATTTCTTAAAAATATAATAAAGATTCAAAATTCGAATATTCGAATAAATTATAATGTAATGAAAATACAAGTTGAAAATGAAAAAATAACATCTCAAATTATAAATTTATTACAATTATAATTACAGCTTTGCAATAAGTTATAAAAAAAGTTTACAATGTGAAATATTTATTTTCCATAAAATATTTAAAACTAACCTACTCAAATCGTAATCACTTTTACCTTATAATTATAACTATTAATGTTTTAATTTTAGTAGAGTAACAGAAACCTGAAAATTGACAATTGAAACCATACACTGCTGTTCATATAATTTTTATTTACTGGATCATCATACCTAATAAGCATGTAATTATTGGATGAAGCTTCACGGTCATTTCAATAATTGATAATTTGATACTAATGAATGACTGATGCCAATGTTCATTACAAAAGATATTAAAGGAAACTGGAACATTATCGAAATTAAAAAAATTCTTTCAATTTTGCTATAACGTCTAATACTATAAAAAGAAAATATACACAAAAATGATTATAAAAGGGAGTTTCCGCAACCAGACATTAGTAGGTTGTACTTTTTTACTGTGCTGACAATGTGTGTTTGCTGTAATTGACATAACTGAAATTCAAACAAGTATATTTAATACGTGTAAAACAACAGAAAATAATAATTCTTAAGAAAAATTATGTTAGCGTAATTGGTAATAAATAAAATATTTGTTTAAAATGTGCACGTCTGAAATGCTAAGTATAATACTTCGCACTATTGAAAGGAGATCAAATGTATTATAAAACCACATAAATAAAAAAAATACTTATAGGGATATTATATTTTTGGAAAGACATATTATATTTGATGAAATTCCTTTCATTTGACATGAAACCTGATTGATTTGACGCATAGTCGCCTGGCTTGTCTATTCACCAAATAGATTGATAGTAAATGTTAAAAAAACAAATTATATAATGTGTTCCCATAGTAAAGACATTGCCAGTGTTTTCCGTTACTTAAAACTTTCACGACACTTTAAATTGACGGTTAATTTAGATAAGATCTACGCTGGTGGTGATTTATTGTAAGGCGAGAAAAGGTCCATAACCTCAAGGTTGTGGTACCTATCATAGATTTTTTGCAATTCATCGTATTACCACGGCGACGCCATCGCTTCCCGTAAGGATGATGGATGATGATAACGACGAGGACGGTTAATATATCAATTAAAGTAGATATTAATAGCTATTACACGTCTACGGTATGACCATAAATTAATTAATCGAATTTGTGATCATGCCGTTTAAATTTGATAAAAGATTTTTTAAATTACAATGACATTGTAATTTATAAGGTTTTACTATAACAGCAGTATAAATAAGTATTTGGTACTAGATTTAGATTAACAGTAACTTTAATAATGATTGTAAAAAAAAATATTTACTATAAATACTCTTCCCTGCTCTGAAAAGGCAATCCATTCATAAACAGATCGTACTATCTAGACTTCGTCAATTACGTCACACAGACAATCTTCAACACAGTCTATCTAGACAATCATCAAGTAAAATTGTCTCGTCTCGATTAATATTAAAGAAATATTTAATGAAGAAAACAGAAAATTAGATGTCATTATCACATCATCTCTGTGTATTGTATCTTCTATAACATTCGCGACACCTCGACTGTCGACTGGCGACATCTATCTTCTAGGAACACACTGATATCTGGTATAAAAAAACTAGGACATCTTGTAATTTGTCTGGGTTATAAAACATAGTATCCTATTTTATTTTGCAGTGAAAATGTTATAGTGCCGTCAAAACGTCAAAACAATTGAGATACTTAATATTCTTCGTTATAAGTCACCCGCTGTGAAGCGAATAGTATAATCGGATAATTTCACTACTTTTCGAGAGAAAATAGTTAGGTTATGGTCGCAGAAAGCTTAATATTATCGATATATTAAATTTTGGTCACGATAAAACTGAAGAATAAAATGTTTATCATATTACGTAAACAATGCGAGATTAGAAAAGTCATTATTATGTTTTAATAGGTACAACAACAAAATCATGATAATTCAAATTGCTTATAATTAAAGTTTATTTAAATTACAGAGATAATATACACAGTTATACACCCTACCTGCATAAAAGTGACAGTTATTCATTTATCTATGTATGTCGTATTATATTAGTGTACTAGAGCGACCTTGTTGCTTAATGAAATGTATATACCTACATATGTACAAACTTTGGGTAAAGTTGATTACTATTTTATTCAATGAATATATACAAACACAATCCAAAAGTCACAATTCTTAGAGGTACATATACATATATATAATTTAGTTTTTCTTAGATACAATCGCCTGCTTTTGTATCTAGTCGAACCAACAGTTTTTCAGACCGTTTCTGTAAGCAAATACTCATTTCTAGTTTTTTATGTGTAACAGTATTTTAAAAGAATTGTAATGTCAAAATAAAAAGAATTTTGTAGACTTTTTAAATCTAAAGAAGTTTATTTGCGTGTTGTGAAAGCAAGCTTTTAGGTAATTTTCTCTGTTTTGACAGGAGTCATTGCGAACACTAGTAGAATCAATGGGGTATTTTTTTTGGCAATATAAAGTATAAAAAATATATGTTAAAAAATTACTTCTCTATGTAGCTAATCAAGTCTTACAATTTCTCTTGGCTGGTTACCAACTCTACATAAGTATAATATAAAAACTGAGTTAATAAAATTCTATTCCGGTTTTGTGTGTAATTAAAGTTTTATGACATAAATAAAAGAGGAATAAATCTGCAACTAATGATTGATATTCATTCATCAGGCATATAGCACCGTAGTTCATAAATACTTTTGGAATTAGAAACTAAAGTGTATGGAAAGAGTCATTACAATATCTATTTACACTACCTTAACATTAATTTCATTTATTACAATTATGACGAAATTATAAGAATATGCATTAATTAATTAATTAATTTATATGAAGGAATAAATTGACATTAGTTACCGTTGGCTGGAGATGTACAATTTGATTTGGTTACACATTTGATCAAAATGTTATAATGCACCTGTTATGTAGCAGCATAATATAATTAATACGTATCTGGTACTGACGCCAAGATTCTAATGTAATTATTTACTGACGAATAATTATATAGATGCATCTATACAGAGAATAATTACGTTATTTAATTTATATGTCAATAATTTCACACAGTAAGTGTACATACTCTTATTTTCAGGTGAATATATAAATATGAAAGTCGTATGACGAGTGTATAAATTAGAGATATCATTTTTACACTATTATTATTATATATTTATTTTTAATGTACTTTGAATGTTACACAAGAAGACTGCCAGCCTGATGGTAAGTGCCAACCGTCGCCTATGCACCTGAATACCACCACGGATAGCATATTACGAGTATGTGACGCCCGTGGTAATTATCTTAATCTTGACTTTAACGGCTTCGGTGGTTCATCCGTTTAGAATACCGACTTATTTACGATGGTCGCAGGTTCAGTCAAAGTTCAAAAAGTTCAGTTTTAAGTTCAACAGTACAAAAAGTTAAGTTTTAATGTTTGTAACATTTATATATTATAATAACATGTATATCGTCTCTGAGAACCATCCGCTCCTACGACGCATGTTTTATTTTTCTGTATGGAAGATATATCCAACGCCTAAGCAACGGTACTCACCGTTGCTTCGGCGTTGCTTTCCAACGGTCTAATGCCATTTAGTCAGATGCCATTGTAAGTATGATTATTGGCGTTAGTTTGAAATTAAATAATAAAAGTTTAATGCTAGATCAACTTTGTTATGCGGTTAGTATTGTAATTTTACGCTTTTTTTTTGTAGTTTCATGTAAGTTATGTCCGTCTACATATGTCGTTAACGTTGTGATTATCGACGAACATTTAACAATTTTTTTAGGGGTCGATTAGAGGTTGACTCTACGAAATTTATTTTTATTGTCTAATCGCGATCTTGATTACAAGACCACGCGATGTGGATCTCGTTCAATATAATATAAATAAGAGTTACGGTTCCATAATCTCTTTCTGATTGATATTGACACCTTTATAACTCGCAACATGAATTTTATTTATTAGGCCTTTTATTTCATGTTGCCGGACTCAGAAATTTGCATTAGATGCGAATTTTATCAGGGACTCTGCGTATATTTTTTTAGGAGTAGTTTTTTTAATTATGTGATAATTAATTAATGTTTAAAGTATTCCCCTTTTTTATTATTGACAAGGAATTAAAAAAAATATATTGTTGTCATACGGACAATAAACTTTATTCATTTTTATCTGTAATTATATATTAAAGTATTATAAGTAGTTCAGCATGCCGAGGCAAGCTGTTGATATAATATGGCTGCGATTGAAATATTCTAAAATAAAAGATACGATCAATATTAGTTTACGCTTAATGTTACATTGCAAAAGTTCTATTTATTTATAGTATATACCTGCTATGCAATATACTACAAGAACTAATAGATTTGAAAATTGGTTCCACTCAAGTATATATATATATATATATATATATTCCTGGTGACTCCACACATCCATCTCAACATTCGCACTTCTGCCACATGCACACGCCTTTCGTCTGTCCCCTTTACGGCCCAATATTCAGATCCATAAAAAATGACAGGTCTTACGATAGATTTATAAACTTTATCCTTTAGTTTCAAGGGTATTCGGGGGTCGCATATCATTTCCGAGGCCTGTCGCCATTTCACCCATCCCGCACTAATTATGTGCCTTATATAGCGGTCTATGTCGGCATAGTTCTGAATAACTGAACCGAGGTACCCAAAATCGGAGCAGACTGGAAGCATTACACCGTTTAGGCAGATAGGCTTGAAATAGGAGAGACCGCCGAAATAGCAGAATAGGTATTCAGTTTTAGTGCTGCTGATCTTCAAGCCAACACTCTCCAGTTTTTCTTGCCATCTATTTTGTCTACTCTGGACTTCGAGTCCATCCTCACCAACAAGAACAATATCGTCGGCAAACAGCATACACCAGGGTACCTCGTCCTGAATGTCCGATGTCAGAGCATCCATTACAATGACGAAGAGGTAAGGGCTTAAAGCCGAACCCTGGTGTAAGCCTACCACCACATTGAACTTGTCGGAAGCACCTACCGCCGATCCGACGTATGTGTTAGACCGGATGTACATGGCACGTATTAAATCTACATACTTCCCTGGCACACCTTTCTTCTTTAGGGCCCATCACAAAACTAGACGGGGAATTCGGTCGTATGCCTTTTCGAGATCGACAAATACTATGTGCAAATTTTTATTTACACTCCGGTATTTTTCGCACAGCTGGCGTAGTCTAAAATGGCATCGGTGGTCCCTCGAACAGGCATAAACCCGAATTAATTTTGTGAAATATCACACTCCTCTCGCAAGCGTCTATCTAGCATTTTCTCCCACACTTTCATAGTATGTGACATAAGCTTTATTCCTTGATACTTGCTGCAGTCTTGAACATCACTCTTATTCTTGAAGATAGGCACCAATTTCATTCCAAGGAAAGTCCATTTACGAATATATCGTTGAATAAAAAAATCATAGTTATAATCATAGTTGTAATATTAATAAATATGTATCTTATTATAAAATAAAGGAATGAATAATAAAAGTGACCAGTTCTTTTATCAGTCATTTCATTGTTTGAAAGATACATTATTCCAGAATTTTACATTGGAGCTTAGTAGTTTATAAGCTGCTTCTATAATGCGCTCCTTAATTTTTTTTATATTATAAACAATTGTGACAAACAAAATGTACTATTTATAATTGCTTACTTTAAAAAAATCTTATCGTAAAAAGTAATTGGAAAAATAAAATAAAAAAATTAACGTAATTGTAAACTATTGTTGTTTTAGCATAAGGGATACTTCGTTATTGATTCAGTAGAAAGCCACTAATAGGTAAGTAAACAATTTCAATTCTCCAGAAGTATAAGTCAAGGATAAATTCACCCTGTTTGGTCTGCGTTATACGATATGTTTTTAAGGGTATTACGTAGATTATATTTGCGTCATGGAGGCGCGGCTGTGTATGTACCGCCTTATAAATAACAAGCAAATATACATAATGTCTACGTCAATGTAATCATTCATTTGCTTCGAAATACTTCGAATACAAAGCATACTATAATATTTTTTTTCTAAAACGATTGTTTTAGGCTTACATTTTAAGCATAGATACTAGCAGGAAGTGTGAATATGTGCGATGTTGTCTGTTCTATGTTTAAATATACTAAATGGTTATTTTTAGATACGTATAACAGTTATTAAATCTACATCTCCGTTCAAGAATAAGTAGGTCTTTGACTGCAAAGAAAAATGGGCTGATGCCCAAAAATTAAAAAGGTGGGCGGAGTTATACAGCAGATAGTATAGACTTATGTTGCAAGGGTACGTGGACTGCGATAAATGCTCAGAATTTATTGCGACAATAAAAATAATTAAGACACTACAACAAAGTATTGAATTCCCACTGCTGGGCTCTTGTCTTTCCATGAGTTGTGGGCATTAGTCTAGCATTACTACGCTGGGTATGCAACACGGTACATATGTATGTGGTTTTATTTCGAGTTATTCTTCAGTTGCATTAATATGCGTTCCAAATGATTCTTACACTTGTTAGACGGAACCCTGGGATGAAATTGGAGTAGTAATGTACATATTAAGTTATATGTATTATAATATTTATCACCACGTCATGGTGAAGTTAAGTAAATATTACAGGAAAATTGTAAATTTTGAGGAAAATTACGTATATTTCCTTAGAATTTATCAAAACAAAATTACAAAACAGATATACAGAAATTTAATAAGCTTAATTAATAGGCATTTTTTATAACCGATACCATGTTAGGTACGAGTAAGTTGAAAATATATTGTACTTTAGAGATCAACCGCAGCATACAAGTGTGTTGGAATGTGGACATGTGATCAGCCGGTCGTCGCGTGAATTTTGTTCGATGTCACACACACACGAAGCTCGTGTGCCAAATGCCGATGTTATTGTTGTTTACTATGTGTGTGTAATGTTCGGTCTGTGCACACATGTGAGTGAATAGTGTGAAGTAACTGAACTGACTGACATTTATTTTCATATCCACAAGTTTCAAAGATCACCAGAAAAGATGTTTTGGGGTTAAATAGGCGTTTGCAGTGAATAGACATGTCTGAATAACCTTTCAAATTTATTCACATATTTTTCTATTTTAGTAGTAAATTGAAGAATAGAAATAATTGTTCCTATTTCTGAATAGTTCCCAGTATTGAATGAAATGAAATTATTGATATGTATGCAATTTCTGTACTAGTTATACCTAGATTTTCATGTCATTTAGACTACTAAATGACATTTTGATAATATTTCCCCAAAATCGCTATACGAAATTCAGTCTCTATTTATTCAACTGTTAATGAAACTAAAGTAATTGTTAATATGTATTGCAGTAAGATTACATACCTACTTATGGGGTTTGGTGAATTTCAAATAAAATATCGTTACTTTAGCCTTAATAAATGGAATACTGGAGGTAGCTGCAACATGAAACGACAATTTGAAAGAAATACAAAGTGCCTACGTTCTGCCAATAACGGTATTAGCAAAAACATTTTTGCTTTAAAAATTATTAGTTTTTTGTGAATTTGTCAAGTCTACATGCTTGTTGGATCAGTTTTATTCATTTGTTTTTCATTTATAATTACTCATTGTTTCATATATACAATAAATAAGAATTCTAACTTTTTATACTTTCATACAATTGTATGTACGTATCTCACGACATTAAAACTTAGCTATCTGGATGAGACTCTCTTTTTAATTAACCATGTATAATACTGCTATTATCTACTTTAAAAGCAATTGTGCACTCGTTCTCACGTTATAAGTAAACATACAGGATAGATGAATATTCAAAATTATGTCCATTTGAGTTGTCATCTTATTCTTAATAATATTACAAACGCAAAAGTTTGTAAGTATGTATGTTTGTTACTCTTTCACGCAAAAACTACAATATGGATTTTCATGAAACTTTACAGTAATATAGCTTATGGATCAGAATAATACATCGGCTATATTTTTAATTGAAATTTAACGCGAATGAAACCGTGGCCACAGCTAATAATTTATAAAATGCTGGTTTTAAGAATCACACTTTTTAATAATATTAATGTATAATATTACAAACGTTTAGATGATTGCTGCACAAACACACTCAAATGACAAGAATCTGACGAAATTTGAGCTAAAGATATAGTAGGTATATAATAATATATTTTAATACTATTTATTGTAAATTTTTGCCAATGTAGCCTTTTTATGAAGTCACTGCGTGGGTACCTCTGTATTGAAAGCCTCTAGGCTCTTTTCTTTGTAAGGTATGTTTCGGCTAAAGGATGAGATGAAGCAGTGAAACTGCAGGGTATGGAGTATTACGGACCCGTTCTGAATGGCAAGCTATGTCTGGATCCATAGGCGTCATATGATGACGTAATGTTCGAAGTGCTATTAATTTGTATAAGCGTTATATATATATAGGTATATATACAGTTTAGGGAATAATATAGAATGCGGTATTCATAGGAAACACATTTAATGCCTCAATATTCGATAACACGAATACGTCCGAGTATCAATTACCACAGTAGATGTCAGCATAAACAACAGTATTCAATCGAGAACATGACATGGTATGCATTTGTGAAACTCTGAAACTACTTGTTTAATTGACTAGTGACTGGAATGCAAGCTAATAACGCCAAAACCTGGGATAGGTATTGTAACTATTAAGTAATTTGTAGTAGAAGGTTCACCTATTTATTGTTGGCTATAAAAAAGAAGTGAAGTTAACTTTTGTCTACTATGTCTACTAATGGTAATGTTTTCTGAATTACAAAAATACGACGATATGTTGCAATACAAATACGATTGTATATAATCTAAATTCTGTTTTTTCCTGCATAGTTTTGTAGTCACTGTGGTGTTATTTTAGTCGCGCGTCGCGCATCGTCGTTCCCGCAGTATACAAAGGCGAGGTTTATCAAGAGGGGGCATCAGCTAGCTTGTTCAGTTACATTAGAAAAATGTCTTCTATTACTATCTTTTAGGAATTTTAAAAAGTTCCTCACCAATTATTATCCTTTAGTAGTTCGAACATAACGAATATTCAGTTTAATAGAAAATATATTGAAAGAAGAAATAACTCTGACCTGTTTGATACATTGATAAATGAAAACTGTCCGACTTTTTATTCCGGGGGTGCGAAATAGAGGTCAACGTAGTTGTCTTCGTACTGGTGATACTTAGGTATGTGGTTTTATTTTATACCTATTTCAGACTGATGTCTTAATTTGTTTTATAAATAATTATAGGCTACACTTACATAATATCTTTGACTCTTTTATTGTTAAATATTTGTAGAGTTACATTAAATATTTCTCTAAGTAATTTCAATTTAATAATTCATTGACTACTGCACTTTATATTATTCAATAAAACTACAATCATAACTTTCAGAGCCATTTAATTTTTAGTAGATAGTTTTACTGAAGTCAATTAGATCTCTAAAATAGTAGGTTTCGTTCAATGAGCATTTATAAACAGTATATTTACTTGGTGTCTCTTTTATAAATGAAAAAATATTATATAAATTAATGCAAATTGAGACAGTATGTTACCGAATGAATTGGGTTACTGGTGAATAATGCCTTAATATCATATATAAGTTAGTCTTAAAAGTTAATGTGCATATGAAAGGCATAGCCAAAGCAATGCCATGCAAGCCAGTCTGGTATAGAATAATACATGCTCATAATTTACCTAACAAGAAAACAAAAGATATATTACTGTAACGGTAAATTTACATGTAAGATCATTGGTAGGTGTAATGAATATGTAAAAGCAAAGTTCATTTAAACACATCGGTGAAAGGGTGTTATTTGGAGCATGAAGAAATCCTGGTTTCGAGCAAAGTTTTGTACAGTAAACGAAAGCATAAATCATGGTTACAGGGAAAAAAGCCATTTCCCATTTCGTGTTTATTAAAAGACTTCAAGCACCCAATTAAGCATTAAAAATTTGGCGGTATAGTATAGGTATGTAAATTAAATTTTGTTTCCAGCATTTACAGTGGTAATAAAATATGTATATAAAGATATCCCTTTTTATTATGTAAATGGAATGTTAAATAAGCTGGCGGCTTACTTGATGGTGAGTATAATTCTAATCATCTTTATACATGGACCTACATACAACATGGACAGCACGTTATCATAGAACTCCCGGGATACCGATCATGCGTTGCCCTTCCGAAGGACAAACGTCATGCCTCTTATCCTGTATTGCATTGCCTTACTCTTCAGGTGCCAAGCAGCTCGCAAAACATATATAACTATATACGGTTACGACTGTTATCTTAGGTAGGATAGTCAAAGGCAATAACAACTAGGAGAGGGTATTGTGGACTGTTCACCCTTTGTTAGCAATGTATGATGGTACATTGTTAGCAATGTACCATCTCAGGTTGTTTTCGACGCCGTTCCACCTGGCATCATGACAAATTCTCGGAGAATTTGTCAAGATGGGTTAACGGCCTGACTTCATGCTCTCATTTTATCATACTCTATTAGTGCTTCGCCAGCGTAAATCATTAACGCAGGCGGTTGGAAGCTTCCATTATCATACAAAAAATAAAAAAATAAATAACACCTGTCCACTTCATGATAAAGGCAACACTTGACGTGCCCACATTCACGTTTTCAAGATATATAAGTTGGGAATATTTAAATCCAACGTGGTAGGGGGCGAACTACGTCTCTCGAATAAATTTTTGATTTAATATCGATGTTTGCCTTTTAATTTCAGTCAGTCAGGAGAGTCAGTAAAATAACTTTTGTTTAGGTTAAAATTATTATTACAGCTCCAACTGGTAGATTTTTTATTTCTATTTTTTTTGTTAAGTTTGACAAATTGCTAACAATTTAATTACAATAGTACGTAAATGCTTTCCGTTTTTCTATTTATATTATAAAATTATTTCATGTAACTAATTATAACAATAGTAATATATATATAACGATTGCATTTGACTTACATCTATCATTTTGTACTTAAGTAGATACATATGAATCAGGATTTAAAAAAATATTTCTATCTACCACTAACATTATTTCTCTTCATTTTTACGTTCATTACAATAGGTACTATATATAAAAATACCTAATAATTAACGACAAAAATCCATTTCAATTGAATTCCTTTTATAGGATATAATATAGCGGACCATGTATGAAGTTTAATAATCATGATCATTATAGGCCCCCCAAAAACATTAATAGAGAGTATGTAGAAATTACAGATAATAATTCAAATTATAAATTAACCCACATTTCCGTTATTAATTTTATAACAGTAACAAAATGGTATAAAATTGTGCCTATGAAATTTATTTTATTTAAATAGAAATTTATTTATTCTATTTATTTATTATTTATTTATTCTATTTAAATAAAATAAATTTCATAGAAATCAGGCCCTGAAATATACATAGACTATTCAGTATTTGATGAATAATGAATGCGTTTAAATAATCTTCTTACTTCAGTAGCGAAATTAGTACATTAAGTAACTATAGAATTGTAGATGTACAGATAACAAATTCTGAGAAAACACTTTTTTACTAAAAAAATATATTGCTTTTAATTACTCACTCAAATTGCGACTGTCATAAAAATTTAAGATTTATGATTTAGGCGGTATTCACTTAAATTGCTTGGGTAACCTTTACGTTAACTTCTCCCACGTCTAATTACAACTTAAAGAGTTTTATGGGTGTCAACCTTTATTACTTTTTCGTTTTAATAAAGGAAAACTATCAGACTTTTTTGGAAGAATTGTCATGTCCAGAATAATATTAACGGAAGTGATCACATTGGTCGGTTTATGACCATGCGCGCTCTTTTGAAAACTTAACAACTCTCACATACTAATTAACTAAAGATATGGTAACTATACTATCCCGTGATCAAACTGACAAAAGCTTTTGCAATTTTTTACTTGTGATTTTTATTTAAATATAGGGAACTTATAGTGGAGTCCCTGAAATTATCGTTTTATGAGGATTTTAAGCTCACTGAGCATGGCCTAGCCTAGCTATAGGTAATTCCTAGCCTAGGATATAGATAATAAAAAATAACTATTATCGTAACAAATGGTATGGACTTAACTGATTTTCATATACCATATACCCATATAATACAAACAACAAAACATATACGAGTTGAGATAGATCTACAGATTGAACTCGTAAAACTGCTGGAATATTACAGAACATTTCGTATCACCTACTACTACTACTACTATTACCTACTCAGTAATTATAATCTGTACTAAGTACATTAATACAATAAGAAATTACAAACATTCAGGTGTAGTACAATTCCAGTGACTTAATGAAGTGTGAAATGGTCGCCCTATAGGGATACCCGTGATTAAAATGCAAAATATATTACAAGGTAATGCGTATACAAAATATATTAAAAGTAATTGATATCACCCATGTCAACTACGGCTTATGCTATTAGTCTGTTTTTAACATTTAGATTAGATCCATGTGAACAGACCAGACCCCCTTTACATCGAGGCCAGTAACCTGTATATTCGAGACTGAAAGTCTATTTTGGTCCCACAAGAACACAATGTAAAATTGATAACATAATATGATTAAATAGGTATTATAAGAAATGATGTATGCAGCAATGTGCAACATTGTTGATGTGGTAAAGGATAAGTAGTTAAAAGGCAATAGACTAATCCATATACAACTTTACTTTGTTGCAACATTTACAATGCTCATAACCACATAATAACAGATTCATACCACTGCATCATCGTTGCTCTGATGAATGGTTGATGAATCGTTCCCTAGATGATATCTAAGATAATTTATAAGTTACTTAATATTTATTTTACGGTCTCAGTATTCCGTTTATCAAATATGAATCATATTAAAATAGAGATACTTTATTATTGTCATTGAAGTTACTTATAAGTATATCAATCTAACATTTGTATACACAATAATTAGTGTTTATGTAAAGATGTTTACAAATTATATGTATGTGATTATGACCAAGAGGACGGAATATAATTCTATAATAAATTAAGTAAATAATCTTAAGTACCTAGTAACAAATATAATCATTATTACATATAAAATCTTAATTGTAGTAATATATTTAAGTATTAAAATAAAATTGGAGATCATTCGAGTGTATTTCAATGTCAGATATTTATTCTAACTCTCCCCAACTGATCGTCACTTTTATCATATACTACCTTCTCATTTGTTGAATACAGTTTCTCTTGTATGGCCGCAAATGACTGCCCTTTTGTTTCCGGTAACAATATTAAAATAAATATCACTCCAGCCACAGACAATAGTCCGAAGCCCCAGAATGCGACGTAATTACCTAAATAATCAGCTACCACTTGGTACAATTTTGTAACTGCAAATGTCATCAGTGCCACGAATATCTGTATAACACATGTAGCCTTGGACTTTATATTTGTCGGAAATATTTCCGAAGTAATTGCAAAAGGCACTGTAGCTAATCCTATGGTATATGAAAATATAAATATAGGTATCACAATAATAGGAATGAATCGAAGAGAAACAACAAATTCGCTGTTCTCGTGTTTAATGAAGAAGTACGCCCCTATAATAACGTTAGCTAAACCAACGCCACATGATGATACCAACAACAGTGGCTTTCTTCCTAATCTGTCGACGAGCTGGGAAGATATTGCCGAGGTCATGAGTTGTACGGATCCAAAGAGAATACACGATTCCTTAGCTCCCAATCCACCTTCAGCGGCGCCAAATATTTGCTGAGCGTAGGATATGATGGCAGTGCTTCCACAGAATTGTTGTGTGAAGTATATTCCTAAAAGTATTATAAGACCTTTTTTATTTCCTCCGACTATAATTAAGTCTTTCCAACGGCTCTTTTCTTTCATGTTGTCATTTACTAACGCCGTCATGCTGTCCAGTTCTTCTCTTATGTAATGTTTGCCCCGCAGTTTCTTTAATGATTGTTCTGCCTGTGTAGTACGCCCCGCCCTTATAAAGTAATATGGTGATTCTGGCATGGCGCTAAATGTTACTACGAAGAGTATCGGTATTGCAATGTTGAAACTTGCTAAGCCCATCATGGATACATACGGGCCAATACAGTACTGCGACAAGATTCCAAACTGAAAAGTAAGTAAATAATAATGAGTTATTAGTTAAGAATTTATCAATACTGATTTGATGAAATGGGTTGTTGTAATAAATAAGTGCAAAAATTGTTTAATAAAATATAATAATATTACTAGAATAGTCTTCCTTTATAGGAAGACAGTAATAATACATTACTGTCTTCATGAAAAGGAAGGATTCAGTATATTATTACTATATAGGCCATATGGCCATAGATATTCTTGTTTATTTTTATAACAAGGGTTTTTTACAACTTGTGCTACCTTTGCACAGGTGTGATATTTAGAGAAGAGAGAGAGGTAATAGAATAATACATATTAAAAGCAAAATGAAAATATAAATAAATATTAGATCAGAAAACCAATTGTGTTGAGGTTTTGCCAAGGTTTGCGAAATCACAAATACATGCATCTACTTAACTAATAGGATTATATTACGTTAAAATTCTAACTTTGTCTTCCTGATATAGAAGATATGTTTTTATATCTACTTGGATTATTTTAATTTGTATTTTTCCATTTTGTTACACAAACACGAGATACTTTTTTGTCCCTTGGTCACAATGCCCTTGACATATTCGTGGTGTCTATGTATAGGTATGTAACAATAGGACCAAACCCATTGCAAAAGAAGGAGGTTCCTAATGCGATGGTTTTTTGTTCGTTATGCGACAGTTTCTTTACATTTGAAATCTTTTTTAGTTTAAGATCATTAGCGTGTTGGTTCCCTATATACAATTTGAGTAGAACGCTTTTTTTGTCTTTATATCTTTATATATAGCTGATTGTTGATTTTGAATAAAGAAAAACTTTTCAATTATTTTTTTAATCGAAAAATTCATTCGTTTTATACTCGTATGTATATCAACTAATTATGTCATACTTTTTTTATCATAGCTTTAAATTATTTTATTTTAATAAAAAGTGATAATTACCTTTGACATAACTGTGATGAGAGTAGCCATGGCACCTCGTACTTCATCAGATGCAATTTCTCCAAGATACATTGGAGCTGCCGTATAAGCAATTCCATAACCTAATCCACAGATTAGACGTGACGCATATATTGTTGACACATTGCTAGCTAACATGACTAGGATCCATCCAATGATGTAAGGCACAGCCGCCAGGAGGAGGGTCTTCTTTCTGCCAATTCGGTCTGCCAGGTAAGCTGCTGGTATTGGACTGACAGCTGCAAATCATAAGAGACCATACATTACTTACGTTATTAATATTATAAATATATGTATGCCTTTGGCACTATAACAGTATAACTACACATCATGTAATTTTGCATACACCATAGTATTTGGTATTAGAAGAAAATTGGGTATATTTGGTAATATATATTTTATCACGTGGATCAAATCACAATTACGATTAGTTACTATATAAGTAAAAATATACGGTCAATTTGCAATATCCCTCGGATAATGACAATATCTGCGGATTATTGATGAAAAATTTGAATTATGGAATGCCAAAGTACACTTTAATTTTATAGTATCTCATTAATAGGAATATATTTATTGAAAGTATAGTTGCGGTAGAAATAGGTGAGATGGAGCGGTGAAACTGTTAGTGTTTTAAACACACTTGTAAAGCTAGTTTAGTATGCAGGAATATTGAAATCACACTAGAGATGAAGCCGCATCATTAAATTATTCGGCCTATGTTTTCAATTAAGTGGCGGTAATCGTTGCTTATGTATATACCATTATGAACAGCAGCATGGACGTCATCTATTCATGTGACGTCCCTGATACCGATCTTTCGTTGCTATATTGGAGGACTAAGATATCATACCTCTTATTTTATAATTTTAATGTCTAATCCCACCCTAAAACCGAACCACAGCTTCCAAAGCAAGTTTTTTAGCGTCTGTAATAGGTAATATGAATATGAGGTACTCAAGCAGTCGACTTTTTACATTGTACCTCGATTATGACAGTATCTATTTGATAGAATAAATTTTTGGTCAATGTTGTTTAGTAATTACTAATAGTTCTAAGTCTTATGTGACGGTCAAAATATACGTAATATTTAAGATTTCAAAAATTCTGAAAAAAATGTTGTCTGACATGGAACAATTATTGGAGCTAAGAAAAAACATTGATATTTTGGATTAGATATGTTCTATATACATTACTAATTACCTACCGGAGCATAGAATCATGAGGGACGCGATCCATGAGCTTTGGTCGGGAGTAGTCGGGATTGGTGAGTCTTCTGCTAGGAGTATTGGAAGTGTGGGCGATGTCCATCCAACGGTTGTCCCCGCCGCTGCCGTGATCAAGGTAGCTGGAATATTAGAAGTTAAAAATTAATTTATGGAAGCACAAAAGCAGAGTGTTATTGGTGTAATTTGTTAGAACCTCTTTGTATAATGTCCTTACGACAAAACATAAACTAGGCAATAAATATCGAACACTTCTGCTAGTGTTCTAGTTTCTCCTGCAAAGTTAAATTGTAATCTACTTCTAATTAATCTTTTAGTAGGATGTCATCATGATCATGATTTCAGCCCATAAGACGTCCACTACTGAACGAAAAAATCTCCACGACGATCGGTTCTGCGTTGCTCGCAACCAACGCTTTCCAGCCATCTTGACCAGATCATCGGTCCACCTTGTCGGAGGTCTTGCCACGCTGCGTCTTCCGGTCCACGGTCGCCATTCGAGGACTTTACTCCTCCAATGGCCATTTGTCCTAAGTGCTATGTGCCCTTAGTAGGTTTAAAATTTAAAATATAGTAGGTTGTAAATTGATCTAATTATACCTATCTATTATTTCATATAGTATTGGTTATCTATACGTGACCACGTCCACTATATACACACCACCATATTCTCAGTCAACTTGACGAGTATATGGTGGTGTGTGTGACGAGTTGACATAAGACACATAAGTACTATTTGACACCAGATTTGGAAATAAATTAGTCTTTTGAATAGTCTATTATTTACTAAGGACAATGTCCTTCCTTATGTCCTTTGTGTAGTGTAACATTCGTATTTAATGTTGAATTTAATAAATTGACGTAGTCAAGATTTCCTAGTGATATTACGTTAGTTCATGAGATATGCGTTTGCAACTTTCTGGAGAATATAGGGTGCGTTGACTTAAAAAAAATAATTAATTGCAAATTTGTAATGGCAATAAATAATTTTAATATAATATATTACCTTATGTTGTGGAGTTAGCTATGTAAATGTCATTTATCAAGTCCAAAGTATTTGCATATCTGTTTAACCATTGTTTATTGTGTATACCTACATGTGGCACATGACAAAGGATTATGCGTAATATATAAAAAGTAAGCATACTGTATAAAATACTGGTTCTGATATGATTTTAAGATTTAAAGATCAGTATAATAATCCTACTAGACCTACATCCTATAGATAAAAGACAAATGGAAGTGAGGGATGTAAAGCTAACAAAGTGGCAGTCATTCATCAAAAATTCATAAAAAAATATATTATTCTTGCAAAAAGCGTAACAAAGGAAAAACAGAAGGATAAGCATCTAATCGCCAGTAGGAAGACGGAGGTCACTCGGGCCCTAATGAAGCGTTGTGAACAGAGGCGTCAGCTTTTTCGCAGAGTAACCATTATCTCTGCTCCAGCGAGTGACAGCCCTAATAGCGCCGTGTCGGGAACGACGCGTGATGACATACTGATTTGATTGCTTTTCTTCATTTAGGCTTATTATCGAACGTAATTATTTCTTATAGATATTACAGGGAATTGTAATTACATTTTTAATTTACCTAATTAAGTTTCTTTGAGCGTATTACTACCTAGTATTCGATATACCTAGTAATAATATAGTTTTAGAATAGAATAGAATAGAATAGAAAATCATTTATTCAAATAAACTTACATTGAAGTACTTTTGAATAGTCATTACATTTTTTAATCTACCGCTCGTTCGGAAAGCTGTCTCATCACAAGAAGAACGAATAAGAAACTTGCGTGTTGCTCTTTTAAATAATTTTATTATTACTTTACATTTTTAAGTTTAAGTGTGTGAATACAAACCACCAATTAGCACTAATTCAATTAAATACTCAAACAGAAAAAATATTGAATATATAACCAACTGGGTAAACAATTAATAAGAGGACATCAGTCATAGTGATTAGAGCAGACCAGTCCCTACAAACAGCACCCGTTCACGAGTATGATGGATGAGCCAGCCATCACTGCGCTCTTGACCATATTTTAGGAAGCCCAATGACCAGGCCCACCACGCCGCCACAAGTCTGGACATTTTAGTGAGCATGACTACTCAAAACACTAGACTACGTCAAAGCTACTTACAATTGCCATCTGATAGTTATAGTATTCACATTTTACATAAGAATGCATGAATCAATACAAAAACCGCTCACGTTTTCATATTTCTAAAATCAATCAATTAAATCAAGAAAGCAATGAGAAAATTAAATTATAACGTTGTATGCTAATAAACTAATTATTTACTTGATATGTATCTATGAATTCGTCTATCCTGTAATAGGCTTTCTTACATAAAAATTGTTTAATATAAGATTTGAATAGCCTCTCTGTCAGATTTAATGCAGATTCTGGCAGTTTATTATAAAATCTTACGCAATTACCGTAGAATGAATTACTGATTTTGTGCAGACGGCATTTAGGTAAAATTAGCTTATTTATATTGCGTAAGTTTCTACTTGTACAGTCTTTGAGTTTTTTAAAACTCTCTAACTTCTTCCGTGCATACATGTTATTTTCATAAATGTATTGTGAAGTAACGGTGAGGATATTTGATTCTTTAAAGCTCTGACGTAATGACTCTCTTGAACCCATACCATAAATAGAACGTATGGCTCTCTTTTGTAAAATAAATATAGTATTTATATAGGCTGCTTTACCCCACAGCAGTATGTCATAAGACATTATGCTATGGAAATAACTAAAATATACAAGTTTAGCCGTCGCCACGTCTGTTAATTGCCTAATTCTTCTAATTGCATATGCAGCAGAACTGAGTCTACTGGCCAATTTTGAAATATGGGGCCCCCATTGTAATTTCGAGTCCACTGTTATACCTAAAAAAACTATATCATTAACAAAATTTACTATTTCGTCATTAAGCAATAACTGTAAATTTATTAGTCTTACATTAGGAAGTGTAAATTTTATACACTTTGTTTTGCTGGAATTTAATAATAGGTTATTACATGTAAACCAATTTAATATTGCAGACAATAAGAGATAACGGAATCTACCAGGATATATGTCAGTGTAATATTTTAAGCACTGGACGACAATATTATTATTAACAAAAATATATTAAGTCATTATTATTTGGTTATAAACAATTCCTGTGAATGTCAATTTAATATTCAGTCCTGGAGTAAATTTATGTTCTATGTATGGCTATGTAAATTCAGTAGTTGAAAACTAACATTGATTTGTAACTAGAAATTACTTTTTTTTCCAAGTACAAGTACATATTTAAAAGTTTATTCCGAAGGAGTACACAATGAATCATCTTGACCGAAGCTACAAAATGTCCCTTTAAGATGTGATTGATCACTCTGGCTTGTGGTTGTTGTGATGAAAAATACATTTTTTATTAATCCGTTACAGACATTTAATCAACAACGTTGACTGATGACTGCAACTGTAATATTTGAAGGCTGTAAATTAATTTATTTGGAATCTTATGCAATGGTTGAAAAATGAAAGCTTTCTGGGTTGCGATTTATTACAGGATTTCGTTTATGAAATTATTTCTGTTTTTTAATCGAATTCAAAAGGAGATTACAATGATTGTATTTTTGGTATTTATTTATATTCATGCTTAATGTAGATTGCGTGCTACACACGCACTCAATCTACATTAAGCATATGTACGTTTAAGTAGAGATTTTTGGCTTAAAGTGTAGCGTCAACCGTTTGAAGGTTTTTGTAGTCGTTATTTACTCTATGATTCTAATAATGCTTCGATAATCAACTAAAATCGTAAATTTACCTTTGAATTAGAGTTGTCACGATTTGATATATGATGACACCGTTGATCGGGTCGAAATCGTATGTTATCTCTAAATACTTCGTGTATTATTTGACTCCACAAATGCATCTAACCTTCATCCTTCTATAGATTGACTCAACTAAATCGTGCATAGATTCTTTTAACCTAAGCTTAGATTATTCATACATCTATCCGGACGACCCGTGCCGCCAACGCCGTTCGATTCAATCCGTTTCGATTGGAATCCGTTCGAGGCAGTCGAACCGTCCGACTTTTTAAGAGAATGCTATTGGTCTAGACATGACTACAGTATAAAATATAATATACGTATGATTTATTCAATAGTTAAGTTGAACTTTGTGTTATGACACTGTTTCTGGAAAAAAATCTTAAATTATAGACTTTAGACTTCACGTATAACTACCGTGACCTTCTGTAATTTGTATATCTATGAATAAACGTGATTGAGGATATGTACGTATATGATAAGTCCAATACAGTATAGATAAGGCTTATGAAGCCATGCATTGATTTACAGAAATAGTATTAAATACACGATTGTTTCTGAATCTTCATAAGTTTTATTTCAACTACTTCTTAAATCGTTGACTATGATAGTGATATGTGATATATGATATAATGATAAGCATAAAAAAGTTAAATGTCAATTTTGTTCGCAAATATGTACATATGTATGTATATTAAAAGTATAGGTATGATTAATTAATAATTTGTACGAGCGATTAAAGTCACTTTCACAGGATGGATGACATCAATCGAGAATTTATTGAAGAATTTCCAATTATATCTATCTGTAGCAAAATAAATATAATACATTATTCAAGCAAGTACCTATTTACATTACTTATTTATTCAGAAAATAATACATTATTCATACTTATAGATACTACTTGTTTATTCAGAAAATATCGGATTTTGTATTATCTTTTGTTTTGTAGTTTTGTATTATCTGTTAAACCGAAAGTGGATTTTTTAAGGGATGATATGATCATGAAGGAGAGTTTTCACCTGTGCAGATAGTATGCTCTGGCGGGGCACTAGTGATAGATAAAGGACGACGATCAAATTAGATTACTTCTTGTGAATTTATTAGGAATTTACTAATACGGCTTCCAAATTACATTCTTAATACCATACTACATTAATTCAAACATTACAAATCATTCAACTCGTTTTAAGTTTAAAATCTAATTACAAAAAATTAGATAAAGCACTACTCTATTTATTGTATGATATGTAAGTACTACCCGACGGAGAAAGTACAGTCCTAGCAA